TCCGAGGCTCATGTTACCAGATGCAGAACTCTGCAGGGGGCATGTCTTGGGACAACGCAAGGGCCATCTGTGGCACCAAGTATTCCAGCTTAGTCGCCATCACAGATGGGGCAGAGAACAAGTTCGTCCTCAGTCTTCTGCCAAAATGTGAGTTCTTTAATTGTCTACTTCTTTCTTTTTGTTTCTTCTCTTGTTCTTTCTTCTTACTTTCTTTTTTTTCTTTGTTTGTTTGTTCGTTTTTTCTTTCTTTCTTTCTTTCTTTCTTTTAATTTTTCTTTCTTTCTTTCTTACTCTTTGTCTTCTTTTCATTTTTTTAACCTTTGCAGTGGCGTCAGTAGCCTAGTGGTTAGGCTACTGGACTCGTAATCGTGAGATTGCGGGTTCGGGGGTTCGAGCCTCAGCTCGGTCCGAAGTTGTGTCCTTAGGAAAGGCACTTTACACGAACTTCCCACTTGGCTCGGAGACGAAAGTTAAACTAGGAGGCCCCACCTCTTAACTCTTTGACTACCGTGAGCCGCGTTTTGCGGCTCAAGCCACTCTTTATTTTGGACCGCGAGCCGCGTTTCGCGGCTCGGAATTTTAGCTTCAAATTCGGCCTTCATACTCAGAAAAATCCTGGCTAATTTCAATTTGGCAAACGGAAATGAACTCTAGCTATGTTTTCCTTTGTCTTTTCAACGGGACAGCTAGAAAGAGCGCAATTTGAATGCAGTAGAGGCTCTTGTTTACTTCGATCTGCGAATTCCAGTGGTAAACACTAAATCTAGTACTCTGACAGGTTCGTAATGGATCCAGGACCTTCTGGTACTCGTCCCCCGAAACGATTTTGTGCTGAAAAGGCTCTAGAAAGGCTTGAAGAATGGACTCAAGAAGATGAAGATGCTAGTTCTGTGCATTTTAGCGATGGCGATGATAGTAGTGGTGAGAGTAGTGGAGAAGACTATGATTCTTCTTCTAGTGGTGACGACGACGGGGAAAGTGGGCGTGGCTCGTCAGCTGTTGGGGGCATAGGGGATGGGCCTATGGATAGATCTAGGCCTGCAGTGGGGAGAGTTGGAGAAGATAATGAGAGTGGTTCCAATGAAAATGAAGTCAGACCATCAAGACCTGCGACTGCTAGATCTACCCAGGCTCAAGAAACTGAACTACAGTGGTCACAGGTGACAGAAGGTCGGACGCAGAACAACTACAGGTTCCTTCGTCAGAATGCCACAGGAGTGAACCAGGATAAGATAACGGAGAATTCAACACAACTGGAATGTCTGCTAGCTCTTCTCTCTCCCGAAATAGTTGATAAATTGCTTGACAATATCAATGAGTATGGCAGAACCTTGACTGAAATGAACACGCCTGCAAAGAAGCATTCGATTTACACCAAATTTGACCCGCTGACCAGATCAGAATTCTTCAGGTTCTTGGCAATTCTCATTGCCATTGGGAATGATCCCAGGGACTGCATCAAAAGTTACTGGTGCACCAAGCTGCCTCACAAAAGGACACCCTGGTATGGACAAACTATGTCAAGGGTGCGTTTTGAAGTGCTTTTCCACACATTCTTGCACGCAGGTGGAGTCGAAGCCGAGAGCCAGGATAAAGTGGAGCCGTTCCTGAAAAAGCTGATGGAATCTTTCCAAAGCGCCTTTTATCCACAGGAAAATGTATCAATTGATGAAATGGTGATCGGCTTCAAAGGCAGGTGGAAATACAAACAATTCAACTGTACAAAGCCGTCAAAGTATCACATAAAAACTTTCGGGTTATGTGACAGTGCAACAGGTTATCTGTACAACGTTTTCACCTACTACGGCGGACAGACAGCATACCACCCAGAGCTCGATGTAGACAACACACAAGCGGAAAAGGTATTTCGAAAGCTGATTTCTCCACTGCACAGAGGTCACCACATTTTTGGTGATCGCTTTTACACTTCGGTCCCCCTGCTAAAGTTCTTGTCCACAAAGTCGCACTATTACACTGGGACCGTTGACATAAGACGAAAGAATTTCCCACCAGAGTTGAAGTCGCTACAGCTGGCCCACCAAGAGATGTGGTGGTACATGGAACAGGACAACAAGTACCTCGCTGTGGCGTTTCGTGATAAGAAAGCCAAGAAGTTCTGTGTTGTAGTGAGCAGCCAGGGAGCAGTTGGGACCACACCCGTAAGAAGTCGGCGAGTTGTTGTAGACAAACCTGACATCATTGTCAACTACAACAACAACATGAATGGCTGCGACAGAATGGACCAGCTCGTGGGCTACTATGGTGTCCACAAGAGGAAAAGTTATAAATGGTGGAAAAAGATTTTTCACTGGCTTCTCGAGCTTTCCATCGTCAACGCGTCTATTCTGTTCCGGCTCTCCAGACCACGGGATGCGCAGGGGCGCCCACGTCCAACAATGAAGCTGCTGGACTTCAAGGATCAACTGGTGCTTCAGCTTGTCAATGCTTCCTTGCTGCCAGACCCTGGGCAGGAACTTGTGCTTCCACCACCAGCACCCCAAGCTCAACAAGAGGTTACTGACAACCCACTCGTCCGTTTGGCAGTCAGCAGCCACTTCCAAACATCTGGCGGCCCAGGAAGTGATCGAAACTGCAAGGTCTGCAGCAAGCCCGGTGCTCGCAAGAGAACCAAAAACGTCTGTTCAGTGTGTCCCGGCAACCCCCATCTCTGTAAGGGGGAGCGCTTTCGTGTCTGGCACACAAAACTGCACTATAAGCAGTAAGTTCTCACTGCACAGTGAGCTGCGACATGACGCCTTCGTTTTTGCATTTATTTTCATTATGAGTGGGTTTTCTATTTTCATCATAACTTTTTTATTTGTGGATGGATTTTCATAAAATTCGTATGGATTATAGACATATAATGTGTGCACATGTGTGTGGAGTATCAAGTCTCTAGGAGTACTATCAAGAGAGATCTACCTTATGTACGTTGAAATTTTGCTCTAATTTTTCATCGTTTGTTTACTAAAACTTGTTTTGCATGCACAACTAATCAACTTTTTTTTACACATACTAACTACATATACACATATTCTTGTAGTCCAGAATCTAAGCTTTCCATCCATGTATAATATGTATATCTTGTGATGAAAATAGGCTGTTATAAGGGCCTTTGAATGTGAAGAGGTGGGTTCCAAAATGTAGGTCACCAAACTAGGCCAGTCCAGTGGAGTAAAACCCCTTGGTAGTCAAAGAGTTAAATAACGTAATAGTGTTGATAGGGGCGTTAAACCCATACCATTAACTTTTGCAGCACATTCAAAATGTCTTTTTTTCATCCCTTTATTAATTTCCCCTTACCTCTCCTCCCTCTTATGTTTAGTATTGCTATTCTACGTCACTGAACCATTTACTTCTCTTTTTGTCCTTTTTCTTCTCTCGCAATGATCATACCGAATCTTCCCCATCTTTAGTCTTTAGTTGCAGAGCCTTTTGTTCTGTTGAGTATAATGACTCTTAAAAGATTTCCGATTAAAAAAAAAAAATTTTTCCTAAATATTTCTTTCATTCTTTCTTTCTTTGTTTTTCTTTCTTTCTTTATGCCTTCCCTTTTCCTTTTTTTCACAGTTTCTTTAAAATAATTAAAATACAGTACCTACTGTTTGACTAATTATTTTACTTCTCTCTAAATATTTAACTCTGATCATTTAAAAAATGAAATGTATTAATTTATTTATTATCATGTATGAAACAACCCAATAATTACGTAGACAAATGATTAATTGATTTAAGGCAAGCTCTAATAGATTTTAGTATTTTTGCTGTTGTATCTTGAAACATGACTACAGTGACATTCGAAGAATTTTTTAATTTTCGCAAAAAATGCTCTCACTGTTGAGGCCATCTTGAATTTTGTATGATTTCACATTTTCTCATTTCTAAAAAAAGACTATTCAAGACTTAACAAACTGGGATGTGCCATAATGAAAAGAAAACATGATATTTAAGACTACTTTATGTGTATTTTGAAAGAAAAAAAAACCCCACATACATTAGTTAAAAAAACACCCTACTAACACAGACAAAAATTTTGTCAAATTCAAAGATATATGCCCAAAATCTCTCCATAATGTGATTTATACACCATTTCTACACGTCCTTCCAAATAAAATATAATATAATAAAAACTTGAATACCATATAGGCTAAATAACTTGGAAAACAACTTGGCAATTTGAGAACATCTTCAGTGACCCATGCTGAAAATGCCAAAGGGAGGCAGGCATTGAAATGATTGCGTCATCTGCTGTTACGGAAACTCCCGAATCTATTTGGCAGGATTTGGTGACCTATCTCAACGGTTTACAGTGTTTTTGAATGAATGTGAACGGTGGTGGGATTTATTTGACCAGATTGAGCATTAAAAGCCGTTTTCAGTGGTATACACCATGCCAACCTTCTATTCAAAGTAACAATAATATTGGTTGCTACAGAGTTTTATAATCCAAAACAAACAACGTAGGCCTTTTTTGTGATCCTAAAAGATCACCCCTAGGTTACAAAAACAGAAAATTTGTATATTTATTGTGTTTTCTAAGCTTTGGAAACAGGTGGAATATGTAGTAGGCCTATAATGGTCTCTAACATTATTTCTAGCCCAAAATCGGAAAATCAATTTTTCTTGACAAAACACAAAAAAAATTGTATTATTGCTTGCCTTGATATATCTGTTTACTGCCAAATTTATAAAAAGATTATAATTCCATAGTAGTCAACATACTACTTGAATAACTTCCTTTGCCGTATCTGGCTTGGGTTTCAAAGTGTCTGACTACCATTGCTATATATATAACAGTGTGCCTACTGTAGGGGCTCAGTACCTAACTCAATATTTTATTCCTAGTGCTATTTGCAGAAAGTATGGAGGGAGAAGGTAGACTTGAATTTTGTGAATTAACTTATCAATAGGCCTACATTCATTCATCTTGCAATTTTTTTTACTGCTTCATTGATTTAATGATTCATTCCTTCATTTGCTTATTCATGCATTCATTGAAATAGAGAACTAAGTTGATAATTGAATAATTAACCAATTAATTCATTTATGCATTCATTGAATTATTCATCCACTAACGTGTTCAATAAAATAGAGAAATACAGGGTTTCTGAATACATTTGATGTACTTTTCCTTCTTGATCAGCCACGAACCAGTATGTGTGGATGGGCCTGAATGATGTGGGCATGGAGAACAGTTTTGTCTGGAACGACGGCACGCCCATTACATACACCAACTGGTCACCGCATGAGCCCAACAACCTGGGCGGAGAGGACTGTGTGGTCATGTACGCCAAAGTGAGTTTTTCCTTCCTTTCTTTTGGTTTTGTTGACAGTAAGCCACAGCTGATGCTTAAGATGGTAACAGGGCGGGCTGGAGTAAATTTCGACCCCCCCCCCCCCTTACACACACACACACACACACACATACTTTTAACTCTTTTGCTACCTCACAATTACAAGTCCGGTAACCTAACCACTAGGCAACGACGTTTCTTCTACAATTCCTTCTGTTTTTCTTTCTTCAGACTGGCCTATGGAATGATGCTAAGTGTGACATCAAGGCGAAACTGTCGGTGTGCAAAAAGAACAAAGCCGTCCTTAACACAGCTCAAAGAGACATTTTCAAAGGCTGCAGTAAGGTAAAATAGTAAAACCTTTTTGCTGATGCCATCATTATTCTGAAGGATCATTGAAGAGAACATTCTATGGGTTTAACACATCTTTTATTGCTGTAATTTTATTAACGGCGCGCACATCCAAATTTAACATCCACCTCATATAGGACTGAGCGACATGAGTGGAGAGTTCTGTAACTTCCCAAACAACCCAGGTCCAAGAACTCGGCCAAGTGACAGAAATATACAATGATTGATGCCTGATAATAGTTTGTGCACAACTTATACTTTTTTATTAAGGAAACGTTATTCAGCAAATGAGTGTTTTATATGATGTGGTGTGAGCCAATGGCCTTAAACTCTGAATAGACTTAGATATACTGTTCTCTAAAACAACACAGGTCTTAGAACACCCATTTGGGGATTTGATCCAAGGTCAACCGTACAGTAGCCCAGTATGATAACTAATGAGATAAAGCAATCCTGTTCATCTAGTTTTGAAAAAGAACAAATGGATTTTGGCAAAGTTGTTATGTTCACCATCTTCACTGACATTATAATTTTTACTATAGTCAAACATTTTTTTTAAGGAGCTCATCCTTGTGATCGTCTGCTTCTTCCAAATGATTATCGTCCTTTTCACCGTAATTTGTCATTACCATTATATTCATCACCACGCGATTCCATCTTTGTTGAAGCCAAATCATACTCACCCAAAAAGCAAACCTTAAAATATGAACAACACCAGCTTCCCTTCGGTTATCTCTCCAAAGTGACCATTTGTTACGGGTAGTGGAAGACCCAGAGAGGCACTGACTACAAAACGTATGTAAGTGTTAGAGTTTTACACCCACATTGACACAATGTAGATTATTTAGGAGGCAGGCTGCTTTGACCCTGCTCATCAGGGTCAACTTGGACTGAGAGGGATACAGCATACGTATTCGGGAATCGAACTCATATCTTATTTATGCAACAGCGAAGCACCTAACAAGTACACCACTGATACCGATGGCACCGTCTGTCACTAATATATAGAAATGTATTAGATAGATAGATGGATAGATAGAAAGATAGAGAGAGAGAGATAGAGAGATATATAAATAGATAATATTGTAGCTTTGTGCAAATGGATTTCCTTGAAAATATTATTATTCAATAAGAAATATAAAACTTGGATCATTGTTATCGAGATACCAACAACAAAATTTGAATCAGCACTAGTCTATGGACATCAAAAGAATTGACTAGTTCCCTCTTTCCTCTACAGGGTATAGGGTATGAGGCAATGTGTTACAGCTTTGTATACCAACCCGCTAAGACCTTTGCTCAGGCCCAGGCCTACTGTAAGAGCTTCGGTGGGAACCTGGCCACTGTAAACGACAGGTGAGTTCTCTGTCAAGTGTGGTAATGTGCTGTGTTGTTATTGTGTGAGTGGTACGGTTTGGTGATTGTATAAGAGCTGATAAGTTTAGAGGTATGAAAGGCAGTAAGAGATGAAGATCTTTTTATTTGTTTTTTGTTTGTTTGTTGTTGTTGTTTTTTGTTGTTTTTTTGTTTGTTTTTAAATTTAGAAGATAATCAGATACAACACCAAGAAGTTGACCAATGTTTGTACGCCATTGAACTCCTTTGTTGTTGTTGTTGTTATCGATCCAGCAACATCTGAGCTCTCGCCCTTCTGTCCAATGCCATGTAGTGATAAGTGCAGGGTTGTTGCAGTTGCTGTAATGTTCCGTAGAGTGTGTTGTCAATGTTGGGTCTCAGAGGGAGAAGTGTAGCACTGATGTCATTTAGGGCTGTACAGTGGAAAAAGTAATGATCCACAGTCCCATATGCATAGTCACACAAAGGACACATTTGGTGAAGCTCTGGTCTTATTCTGTTCAAGTGAAAGTTGACCTGTATATGTTCTGTTTGTAAGCGGAAGACCGTGGTCTGTGTCTTTCTCTGTAGATGGTTGATATTGTCATTTTGTTTTGTTGTGGTCATATGTTTGAAAACTGCCCGGCGTGTCTTTCCCAAGGCCCATCTGTTTATCCCATCTTGTTTGCTGTTGCTTTTAATAAGTGGTTTTGCAGTGTTGTATGACGTTGGAATGTTTGGTTGTTCCTGTCTAGATCTCCCTTGAACTCTTTTATTGACAGTTCAATGCTCAATATCAAAACAAAAGAAAACCCCAGCAGTTTTTAAAACACAGCGGATAAAATACCGTCCAGACCGCTCACTTAGTTTTCCTTCCCCAGTTCCTCCCCGACCATCCTCACCACCCTGCCCGCCCCGCCCGACAGCCCAGCGCGTAGTCATAAATCACTTGTCAGAGGGGTTAATTGGGGTGACCGCAGCGTCACTCCTCCTGTGCCGGGGCAGTAGTAAATATGGCGTTTTAGTGCGAATTGAAAGCCTCCTAACTCTGAAACTATAAATGCTACAAGGCCGATTGAGATTTCATTGTAACGTGCTATGTTTGACCTGTAGGCCGGTATTACTTGTTTTCTTGTAAGTCCGATTATATCAGTTTTACAAGGGATTTAAGTAAGTCTGTGATTTTCAAACTGGCATCTTCAATGTTTAGAACTTTTTCAGTTTGGATTTAGATATATCAATCCGGCCCCCAACGATTTAAACAGAAATTCATGTATCAACTGTGGTGACAATTTTCATTTACATGTGCAAGTTTCAAATGCACGAAGTTATTCTATGATTTTCTGTGATTTTTTAAAAATACCAACCCACCACTCTGAACATTCATCCTTGCTGTTTTTAGTTTTCTTGCCTCTACTACATCTGAATTTCATTGTCATTTTTAACAATATTTTTGTCATGGAGTGCCACACTCAACATGATCATATGGTGGGCATTGTGCTCAAACATCATCGCCTTCTTGAGGAGGCTGCACATGATATAGATGTACAGCTGGTCCATGATATAGATGTACAGCTGGCACATGATATAGATGTACAGCTGGCACATGATATAGATGTACAGCTGGCCCACCAATCTATGGAGAATTGCACGCCTGGAATAGGACAAAATGTGCATATCTACGGCAAAAAATGAAAGAGGGCTGGAAAAAAACGAGGAGGACATTCAATTGTTACAGGGCTGTCAGATTTTGTCGGATAATCCACGAGAAGCAGAGAGATTTGAGAGGAAGGGTTCTAGTGTACATGATCAGCTGTCAGAGTTAGAGTTTGGGGAGCTTATTCCAAGGTCATGTCCTGCCTGCTCTGAATTTGATAACATCCTCAAACAACACAACCTCACACCACAGGCCTACCACAGCCGTTCATTTATAGGAAGCCACTGCCATAAATACATCACAGCCCATGTGTACAGACAGCTAGCATCATTTTTAGCAAAAGGAACAGTTGCATGTACACGAAATCAAAGCATAATAGACACCGCATTAATTGTTCTGAGAGAGAAATTTGTTCACGTAAAAGATACCTTCAAAGATATCCACACAGTAATTGCACATGGAAAGCCAATCACTTTAGAGAGAATACCACATATTCAGTCATGCATCACACGATATATGTCTTTATACAGAAACATATTTGGCAAATAAAAGGTCTTGAGTCGATATCAAAATCGATCAAAAGAAAAGGTCATCCCCAAACAACACATCCTTGAGAAACACTGCGTTCCTTGGATACAAAAATGTGGGTTTGGAATGGCCTTCCATTGTGAGCAAGGGGGTGATCTCATTCATGCAACCGTGGCCTAACAGACAAAGAAAAACACGTCAAAACAATCATGCAGTCACAACACGTCCAACCCACCCTGAGCTACTCTGTCGTGTGCACCACCCATCAAAAGACGAAAGCTTACAGCGGGAATATGAGATAATTCCTCCAGTCCAGCAATATTGTGTTCTTTTTGTATTTTGTGTTTAGGTTGTGTTTTCATAAGTGTATCGGCAAGAAAAGATCTGTCCTGTAGTTACATGTATCGTGGTTATCGCTATGAAAAAACAAGGTCGCAAAGCAAGAGTATTGCAAAAATCAACTTCAAACCTGAATAATTACGGATCCAGAAACTTCGTGCATATGCCCCTTTGTCAGTACAAATTTCATTATGTTCTCAGTCCTGTGTGCAAATTTGATTGAATTCGTTGGGGGCAATCATATTTAAATCGATGTTTATAATTGATTACCCATGACACAATTATCAAATTAAGTCCCCTTTTTGAGAACCTCACAGCTTTTAAGTGTAATGTACCATGTTCTTCCGATTTCTTCATTTTCTTCCTTAATATGTTGAATATTTACGTGGTCTTTATTAAAATATTCATCTTACATTAGCTTTGGCTCACTGTGCTGGTAAACTTTGCAAAAAATACAAGAGCGCTGCCGGTGTTCGGCTGATTAGGGAAATCCCCGGCGGCGCAGGTAAATGACCCCGTGACCTGGGGAAGCGCGGGCTTGCTTGCCTCGCGCCAGCCGAAACTAAATGGGCGCTCTATAACCGCTGTGAAAATCATTTGTGATAAATGTTAAAAGTCGTCTTTGTGGAATTTTTTACGTTTTAGAAAGGCTGATTTCATAGAAAATCTCCATTTATGTTGTCTTTCACAAGTGGAAAAAAAAAGTACTCTATCCATGCTCATATTTTGAAAATAGCTGAATAATTGTGTGTGTGTGTGTGTGTGTGTGTGTGTGTGTGTATGTGTGTGTGTGTTTGTGTGTGTTTGTGTGTGTGTGTGTGTGTGTGTGTGTGTGTGTGTGTGTGTGTATTGATGTTAAAATATATTCAAGGAAAGAGAAAAAGAGAAGGAGAGAGAGATTTATATATACATAATATTTTTTTTGTGCAATGTAAAAAATAAATGATGAAGTTCTGTGTCACTTGTTCTTCATTGTCTAAGCTAAGAAAATATGCCCTCATGCAGTGAGTGATTGAATAAAAAGAAGGGAGGCTCTGACATTCTCAGATGCTGGGCAGTGGTAAGGTTGATAATAAACTGTATCATAAAATATTATGCTTCTTAACCTCTTCACTGCTGCGTAGACGTGTGTAATTGCCTGATGGCCTCAACTTTATCAGATATCTCTGTCTTTCTCCTTAGACACTGTATCCCACTTAGATTGAGTTGGTCTCTTGAAGGACTGAGTCAGAAAAGACCACACCCAAATTTATCTAAGAACATTGCTGGTAAATGGTTGTAAAGCAGTTTGCTATCAAGTGAGACTCTTTTATTGCAGATATGTACAGGCATTTTTGGCTGCTGAAATTGTACCAAAACCTGGATCAGCGTACTGGATTGGCATGTCCTTGACAGCACAGACCAACTGGACCTACGCCTGGGTCACTCCTTATGAAGTGGACTTCACAGCCTGGGATAAATTTCACACAGGTACGACGGGAAATTCCACTAAGAAAAATTAAATGGCTCAGTATCAACAAAAGTCATCGCATAGAAATCCTGTGCTTTTGCATAGGTTAATAATAATAATAATAATATAAAAAATATTATAATAATAATAATAATAATAATAATAATAACAATTTTTATTATTATAATTATTAACTTTAGCTTGGTGAAGGTAGGAAGAGCAGAATGCGTGACCCCATCACGTGCTACACCAACCAGCTGATGATGAAGACAATCAGCCCGCCCACACTGAAATGGACCCTAGTGAAGAGGGGCGAGGAAGCATATTATTATTTTCAGTATTATTATAATTATGATAATAATAATAAAAAAGATAGCCTTTGTATAGCTCAGATTCCCACTCACAGCAAGCTTTATGGTCTTTACCATCTATACTATTACCCCAGCAGACTTGATAGCATTCTGAAGCAATCTCAACTTTCTGGGAAACATACAGTGCAAGCTGCCATTTATAGACCCTGAAACACTAACAGAATGACAAGATCTTTCGCTGGGTGAAGTGAGGAAAATTTGTTTAAAGTGCCTTTTCCAAGGACACAATGTCCGGCTTGCGGCTCAAACCCCCAAACCTGCAACCTGACGATTACGAGTCTGGTAGCCTAACCATTAGACCACCGATGCCTAACCTATCAACACAAGCAGTTGATGACACATGCACTGTCACTATTTGGAATAGCAATTAATTTGTTCAGAGTAGGTTCTACAGAAATGATTTACGTTATTTCTGAGGCAGCGTGGTGGAATCAGGCTCTCGTCAAAATAATCAAAGTGATGAAACTTGCATTTTTCCACAGGTTTGCGAATTTTTATCCAATTTTTGTTTTTTGGCTCAACATCTTTCATGCCCATTAAAGAACTCATTTTTGTGTGTATTTTTCTGAAAAACGTTGATTAAAAGCACAAAAAATGTAAATTTTCAGTTATTACGGACTCTTAAGCTAAGGAAATAACTAATCCTTGGCAGCCATTTTCTCACTATTTTTACTTCTGAAAACAGGTGACCCCCTCCACCTTCATTCGCTAATATCTCGATTTGTATTCAAGATAAATAGATATTTTTTTCATCCACATAAAGACAAGTGAACAAGCTTTGAGATGATATCCATAACTCTACATGCCCAAAAATTGACGAGAGCCTGATTCCACCACGCTGCTTCATATTTATTATAACAACACACGTTTCCTTCCTCCTGTTCACCAGGCAATGAGAACAACACCTGTGTAGCTATGCAGACCAAACGACCGGCCGGGTTGTGGGTGGATATGAACTGTAACCAAGCTCAGAGCTACATCTGTGAATTTCCGAGACAGGGCTACACCACACCAGTGCCCACCACAACCACCACCGCCAAGCTGCTCTGTCCTACTGGCTGGTCCACTCATGGGAACCTTTGCTATAAAGTAAGGGAACCATGTGAGGAGAGCTCATAGGCTGTGATAATGATGATAGTGGCGGTAGTAGTGGTGGTATGATAATGGAAGTGGTGGTGGTATGATAATGGTAGTAGTGGTGGTATGATAATGGTAGTGATGGTGGTATGATAATGATGATGGTGGTGGTAGTAGTGGTGGTATTATAATGGAAGTGGTGCTACGACAATGGTGGTTGTGTTATTACCGTTGGTGTTGTGATTTGAGCTATATGATTAAAACATACTTTAATAAACTTTTTGATTTTCTTAGCTATCAATCATCTTGTCATCTAGTACTGACAAAACTTATTATCATTATTATTATTATTATTATTATTATTATTATTTTTATTATTATCAGCATCATCATCTTGTCCATATTAACTGCAGGCCTTCCAAATGACAATGGACAACATGCTGACGTGGACAGATGCCAGAGATTACTGTGCCAGCCTCTGGACCGGCGGTGCCTTGGCCACCATCCGGGGCAAGGGTTTGGAGGTTTGGATGCTGAACCATACTCTCATGTATGTTGAATAATAGTCGTGTGTGTGTGTGTTTGTGTGTGTGTCTTTGTGTGTGTGTGTGTATGTGTGGGTATGTGTGTGTGTGTGTGTGTTCGCATGCTGGGATTGGGGCCAGGGGTGGGTTGGTTATTCTAGTATTAGGGTAATAGTAATAGAGAAGGATCAGGGAATTACAGCAAATAGAACAGATTTCTTACACAGAAATCAAAGATGTGAAGAAGCAAGAAGCAAAAGCTTACACATTTTATAATATTGCACGCAGGAGATACTAAATTGATTCCCTTGTGGCGGGTCCGGACCCCCATAATGATCTAAATTGTGTGGATGGGGGTGTAAAGTGTGGATGGGGGTGTAAAGAGTACAAGTGCAATTATAGATCAGATTTTTTTTTAAATATTGTTTTTTTCAATGCCCTAAAATGTTTCTTTGCATCGTGCTCTAGTATGTGTCAAGGTTCAGTGTCAAAATGTGTGCAGAGGGGATGGCCCTGATTCAAATTCCCAGTGGGACGCTCTAGAATTTGAGCCACTTGGAGTTTTTTAAGGCTTTCCACCCACTTTGCTCAGTCATGTTTAAGACAGATGTTAAATTCAGAAATCCCTCCTCTGTTTGAACTGCGCAGTGTTGAAACAAAGGTAAATCAATATATATCAATGTTACCCATAACCAGTTACTATGTTCAAACCTGCATATGTGGTGTAGCAGTTGGGTGCTTTGCTGTTGCATACCAAAGACACAAGTTTGATTCCCGTCTTGGGAAAATTTTTAGTGAGTATTTCAGCCTTTCTGATGAGAGATTATATCCCCTTCAGTCCAGCTAGGCCCTGATATGTTGGATGGAAGCCCTCCTCCTGACTGATCTAAATACCTAAATTGTTTTAATTGTGATGTAAAGCACCAACATAACCTATCCACCCGTCGAACCACCCACCCCCCCCCCCTTAAAACGAAAGTAGAAAAAAAAACCAAAAACCCAAAAAACTGAGGAAAAAAAACCCCAAACCAAAGGCCGTGGAAATGTGGACAGCATGTATTAGTAAGTTTCGGAAGCTAAAACAATTTTTTTTGACAGAGCTAAAACTGACACAGAACAGAATGACTCAGATAATGTTCTTTGTCGTAAACAGTAGTTTTTGAAACTGTGTATACTTTTATTGAAATTTCTTCAGATATTCAAAATGTGAAAAGTGGCCTCTCATTATTGGCTTTTAAAAGCTTTTTGGCAAAGCTGTCTTGATTTGGGGACATAGAAACTGTGGTATTGTATTTCTAAAGAGAAATAAAATTTTCGAAAGAACAATTTAGTGTATTTATCGTATCTGTAATAATATTATTATGGATTCATTTCAGAAATATGCAAGACATATTTTGGATAGGGCTCTCTGACCGCAGCACTGAAGGAGGTAAGTGGCAAAAATATCTCCATTATGTTTTCAGATTTTAGACTAGAGATTTTATGTCCAGTTGATTATCTTTCCTCCCCCCTTTCTGTCTTTTCCTATCCTACCTTTTTTATTTTCTTCATTTTCTTTCTCCCCTCCCCC